ATATATATATATATATATATATATATATACTTGCGTTTATACTTCACTATAGCTGGTCGTTTGTGCATTGCATCTTTTGTGCTGCGAGTAATCTGTTTTCTCTCGTCTTTTAGTAAATTCGTCCGGTTGAGCAACTAATTCAGATGGAGTTTTTTACAGTTATTTATGCAGAATATTTCTGTTGGCTGCCGTTTAAACGAAATGAGGAAAGTGTTTTTTATATTGATAGTAATTTTTAATTTTTTTTTCTTTGGCTTACTGGTGGTTCTTATGAACATTACGCTTGCATATATGCTGCGACCAAATTAATTAAATTAGGATTCAAGCAGTTGAGATTGTGTTTAAACAACTGGAACACTACTAAAAGTGCTTTATCCTTTGGTTGATGTTTTTCGGCTGCCCGCAGTTTACATTGCCTGTATATATGTAGTGCAGACGTTCGCTGACAAGTCGTCGTCAGATTATAGTCTTATGTTGTATAAAGATATTTTTTTTCAGGTCGTATGGATCAGAGTAAAGGCGAGGTGCAGTGTTCTTCTAATGAAAGTCGTCTATTTAACGGTATGCTTTCTCAAAGAATTCCCTTCAGGCTTTTTAAGATTTTTCACACTTTTATGGAGTAGGTATTTTTTGTCTGAAACTTTGTCTTTTTGATGCAGAAGTTTCAGGAAATGGAGATTCCGTAGCATCACCGGTTGGTGACACGCCTGCGAGCGGGTCACCACATTCTGTTGTCGCTTCTCAAGTGCCAAGCGAAGCGTTAGTACCTATGCCGGTCCTGCCACAAGCGGGAGATGTTAGTTATTTTGGCACTTTTTTATTTTTATTTTTTTGTTATTCCAAGGAACTAACCACTGTCAGGCGTTTATTCATATGCGTTTAGATTATTGTCGGTCCTGGAGCAAAGAAGGAAGCTCAGTTGCTTGGGTTAGGTTTAATTAAACTTAGAAGCAAGCAGAAGGACTGGCTAGCAGATGCAAAAAAGTATGCTAAAGAACAGTCTATTAAGCAGATTTTATTAAGGCAGACTGTCGCGCATCAACAGAACGTCAGTTACTTTCCTGAACAATTCTGATGCAGTTTTTTGAACAGATTAGTTGAGCTTCTTTTTGTTTTCTATTTTAGCAACAAAAGGTGGCTATGTATGCGCAAGCTCTTTCTTTGATGGCTCGAGTCTATATTGGCTCCATCAGCTTTGAAGTAAGAGAAGAAATGATCAAGACTGCATTCAGCGTTTTTGGTCCTATAAAGTCTATAAATATGAGTTGGGATGCAGTAACGGGGGTAAGTTTTTAGGTCTCGAAGTTTATTTTATATTTATTTATTCCATCACGGAGTTTTTACAGCACCACAAGGGTTTCGCATTTTTGGAATATGAAATCCCTGAAGCTGCTTTACTAGCACAGGAGTCTATGAATGGCGTTTTGATGGGTGGTCGCAATCTCAAGGTTAATGTTCTAGTCAGTTTTTTACATGTTTGATCTTATGTCTTTTTTTAAATCAGGCCATCTTGAAGTCATAGTCTTTGCTTCCTTATCGCAAATCCTTATTCAAGTAGAAATCTTATTGCGGCGTAGTCTTTCATTCGACACCTGTAATGGATATGATAAGGAACACTAGTGATTTCTGTTTTTAACTCGCAAAAATTGCTTGATGTAAATCCTGTGTTTTTCTTTAACTTTCAATTCTGATATCTGCTTTTTGTCTTTCTTTTCCTTCTGTACTTACTCTCTTCTCCTCGTATTCATTGTAGAAAAGATGGGTCTCGGGAGGCTGCTAAAATTAAGTGGGGAGCTTTCAACACTTGTGTTGTCGTGAGGTTTTTCTTATGTTATTCATGATTTTCAACGACGGTTTAAGTATTACACACTTATTTAAATTTTGAGGTTGGTCGTCCTTCGAACATGCCACAGGCACAACCAATTATTGAAATGGTGATGCGGGAGGCGAAAGCATATCACAGGTAACAGTTTCACAACCTATTCTTTGTAACTGACGTGTGTTAATCCTCTTGCAAATTACGGGAAAGAGATCAGTTATATAGAGTTTACGTCGCATCGGTGCACCCGGATCTTTCTGAATCTGATCTCAAGAGCGTTTTTGAAGCTTTTGGTGAGGTAACGAAGTGCCAGCTTGCGCGAGCTACTGGTCCGAATGCGGGGAACGGTCATCGGTAATTACAGTTCCTTTTATTTTCGTGGCTGTTCAATTCCTCACTTGAAATGATTT